TTCTACTGCCTAGAGATGGAAGTCATCAGGTTCAAGTTTTCCAATTCCTGATGGTCCACAGGATCTACTCTGAAATGTGACATATGCTCGGCTGCCCCACTGTTCATGTCCACCATTCAACAGGCTCAGGGGAGATTTCTCTGGGAAACAGGAGTGTGTGCAGATGGTGGGATGGAGGAAGAGGGTGTGTGCTCCACAGACATGAAAAGCCAAGAGGAAAACAACACAAAAGCAAAAGAAAAGCAGCCAGAAGGGGCACATTTTGTGTGAAAATGACAAAAAAGAAGGATGAAAAGTCACCAGGATAATTAACCCATTATCAGGTTTCACAAAACTAGGCCCACTGCATTAACTCCAACAGGTCAAAACTAGGTCAAACCAAACTTTAAAGCTGGCTTTACATGGGAGATGCACTCTAAGTAATTAGTGCTGTGTTCCCAAGTGGCTTAAAGAAGTCTGCCTTTCTTGGGGGCAATTTGAAAGAATCAAATGCCTTTTCTGTGGTTTAACAAAATGAGAATAACCAATTTTAAACCAAATCTAATTATACTTGTTTCAAATAAAAGGAGGAGATGAAGGAGAGCAACTATTGTGATTTAAGTGATGAAGTCCCCATCCAGTAAATAGATTGGAAGACCCCCAAATAAAGACAACAATTTAGAACAAAAACCAACACAGAGTAATGACCTTGATGAAATTTGCTGGGGTAAATTAAATAACTACCCTTTAAAATACAATTAGGTAAACTGATATCACTGTAAGCTATTTCAGAGCAATCAAATTAAGACTTTTTCTAGGGAAACATAATAAAAATCACTCAATTTCTCCACGTGAAAAATCTAATTTAGAACTTATTACTCAAATGTACCACATTCCTAAAGGGTGCTATAGTGATTACCCATGCACCTCCTGAATGCTCTAGAAAAGACAAGTATGTTAAAGTTACCATGTACCTTATCCCTTCATAAATGTTAACCTTTTGGGCTGCATCTACACTCTGCAGAATGGTGCTACTTTTTAAAATCTCCTCTTCTAAAACTGTTTAAAGCTTGTTGTTCAGGAAGACAACTAATTTCTAACTCACAAGATATGTACTCTAGAGACCACGGCTCTATTTTTGTATTTGTATTTGTGTATTTTTGTACAAAGTGGGTGATCACATCATGCTTGATTTTTTTTTTTCCATCTGAAAATACTTTACAGGCAGTGTAACACAAGCTATGGGTCAAAGCTGAACATTTTGGTACTCTGCATTCCTAGCTTCAACCTGTGGTAGTTGAAAATTTAAGAGTAGAATGAAATTTTAAGTTCATATTAAAAGTGTCTTCCTGGAAAAAAACAAAGAGAACACCTAAGTGAATGCAAAATTCTCACAAAGTGTAAGTAAAATAAGAAAGCAAGCCCCTTCCTAATCTCACACAGAACAGGTCGTTATTATCTCCTACCTACTCTGGGCTCCATGGAAGGACCATGTTACACACAGCTCTTCCTGGACTCTGGCACTGAACAGGACTTTTTAAACTGCTTTTTAATCCACCTAACTATTACTACACTGTAGTTAGGGCCACCCAGGCTGCATTCGAAGTGAAATAGTTGCTAAAAGGGAAGGCATGGAGAATGGAAAAGACAGAGAGAAAGCTGTGATAGACCAGAAGAAAAATTTCTAACTTTGCTGGAAGCTGCCCTCATCTTTCTCTCCACTACCAGGAGTCCTGGAGGTATAGACAGGGTTTTTAAGAGTGCTTTCTGCAGTTTGTTTTAGGTAGCCAGGACCCTCAGGAGATTTTCAGAAAGATCCTATATCCTCACTTGTGGCTACATCCAAAGGTGGTGGACTGTTACCACGGGGGCATGGGGAGAACTGTGGACAATAGCAGCCTCTCTGCCCAGTCCATACCTGCCTGACCACCTGCACAGGGAAAGATGCCAGCATGCGCAGGCATGAGAGTTTCAGGTGCACTGTCCTAAAACTGAAAACTGGTTATGGACTCTAAGAGGTCTTATTTGGCTAACAAAAATTTTACTAGGGTAAAGAAAATTGCCTAGATTTACATTATATTTACATTAAAAATTATAATGGGACAACTTTTACCCGTTACAACTTGACCTTGAACACTGATATCTTGTGTGTGTGTGTGTGTTAAAATACACACACTAACATGAAATCTAGCATTTTCAGCATCTTTTGATGTACAGTTCAGTGGCATTAGCACTCCACACTGTTGTGCAAACCACCTCTGCCACCCATCTTCAGAACTTTTTCATCTTCTCAAACTGAAGCTCTGTACCTGTTACACAATAACTTTCCATTTTCTCCTTCCCTAAAAAATATCAATGTCTTAAACAACCTACAATAACATGCCAAATTGGGTTGAATCAACAATTACCTTGAAAAGTTACCATGGACTGGTTTGACCAGGACAAGGCCGGGCTCTCCATTTATGATTCTGATTCCTTTAAGAATCTATTCTGACCTAGTTACCCAGGCTAAATTCCTGGGCTCAAATGATCCTCCTGTTTCAGCCTCATGAGAAGTTGGGACTGCAGGCATGTGCCATGTTGCCTGCCTCTGCCAGTTCTTTCAATCTTGCCTCACGTTTCTCATCCTGTAAATCCAGCAATTCCTACCCAAATCACCAAGCTAATTACACCTGCTATATATGGAAATGATGGACTGGAAGGCAGAAAGCATGAATTCAACAGCTGACTTGTAAGTGTACGTTATTCTGGTTTAGTTCCTCCTAAGCCCACACTCTATAAATACTGTCAAGAACAGCCTGACTATCCCACACCACTCCCCTCCACTCAGGGCTGACTGCTGACCATGTGGCACAGGGTGGTGACCATGAGTCACACACAGGCAGCAGCACCAAAGGCAAGGTAGAGCTGTCCTGTTAGGAACCTCTGCCATGTAAGTTAGACAGGAACAGAAAGAGTCATAGAATGCCAAGGGCTTTGTTGTAAGTGAAAGTCAGCCACAGAAGGACAAATACTGCGTGTTCCACTCATATGAAGTAGCTGAAGTAATCAAAATCGCAGAAGCAGAAAGGAGAAAAGGTAGTTACCGAAGGCAGGGGTGGGGAGCAGCAGGAAGAATTAAGGTTTAGGGTGCATAGTTTTAGGGCAGCAAGATAAAAAAGGCCTAGAGATCTGAATACACCTAACCACTAAAATGTACACTGAAAATTGGTTACGATGGTGTAGCTAATACAATGTGTTTTTACAATGATTATTTTAAATTAAAAGTTTTAAAAAATGAAAGAAAACAGACTTGGCATAACAAGAAAAGAATTCCATTGAAATCGATTTTATAATGCTCTCAGGAGCAGTTATGCTCATGAGGTCCACTGTTCATTTAAACACTGTCTTCCCTTTTCCCATCATCCTTAGGAGCACGCACAGGGCCTGAAGAAACTGAATTCCCATCTGGGGAAGGCGGCAGGAAAGACAGACCGAGGAACAGCGGGACAGAAAAGTGCACAGCAGTTCTGAACGGACACCTGAGCATGCAAACAGTGCCTGGTCCTTCACTGCAGCAAATTTCATTTATTTGGTCCTTAGTTAGCAGGCCATGCTTCACTACCTGAAGCCCTGAAGGGAAAGTTGCTAGATGGGAGGGACCTCAGGCAGTGTCCATGCTGCCTGTGACCATCAGACATGTGATCTCTTGGCCCCTTCTCCCCACGCCCCCAAATCAATACCCATAAAACACAGGTATACTTGCACACCAGATAAACACTGAAAAGTCATTCAAAACTCAGATGAAACAGAAACAGAAGTAGAAAAAATTCCTCTATCATTACTGTTAACAAGCCAAGTGGACCAGCCCTGCTAAAAAGGAGACTGTCTGCCTCAAAGCACAGAAAACTGACTTTGAACCTTTGGTTCTCAACACAACTTTAAATTCATAAATTACGTGATTTAAATACTACCAGTAAGTTCCTTTTATTTCCTCATGCCTTCATTTTTAATTTGAAGCTAGAAGCCTATTTCTAACAAAAGTGGCAACCTCACTAAAATGGAGACGCCTACTGTCAAAATCATCAAACTATAATCAAGAAGCCAGTTTCTGGAATTTTCATTTGTTTTATACTGAAGAATGGTCACTGGAACAGTAGCATCCACACCCAAGAAAGTACCTTTTCCAGTTGCTTCCTCAGGTAGACAAACAAGCTCAGGATAAGTGATTTCTCCATGTTCTTATAGTCACCTGGGCACTACTACCCTAAATTCTCACTGGCATGCCAGCATTTTCATTCTAGCACTGCCCTCTACCTCCCCACTCCACAATTTATAAGCTAAAGCCTTAACCCCAAATGCAATGGCATTAAAAGTGGGGCCTTTGGGGAGTAATTTGGTCATGAGAGTGGAGCCTTCATGAATAGGATTTCTGCCTTTACAAAAAAGACCTAGAGAACTACCTCACCACTGCCACCATGTGAGGAACAGCAAAAAGACAGCCAGGATGAACTGGGGAGTGTGGACTTCACCAGCCACAGCTGGCACCTAAATCTTGTACTTCTCAGCATCCCGAAGTGTGAGAAATAAGTGTTCTGTTGTTTATAAGGCACACTGTTAACGGTAGTCAGAGTTGGCAGCTGGAACAGACTAAGATACCATGAAAGTTCAGGAATTTTAAGAGAAAGTGACGAGAGAACCAATTGGCAAACATCAATCCATTTGACCTTTTTCTTATACATATTACCTGCCCCCTACACTTCTGGCTCTGGTAAGAGGTAAAAGAAGGAGAAAAAAGATAACCAGGAAGGAAACCAGGCAAGTGCTGGGTCCTTAGTCCCAGGAAGGTTGGGACACTGGCTGTGCTCCCTTTGGGAGAATTCTATCACATTGATGACACTCATGAGCTGCACACTCCACAGCCCACTAGGATTCTTGTTTGTCACTTAGGAAAAAGTTCAAGGCATGTGTGAGTGTTGAGGGAAGCCCTGGGGCAAACAGCAGAATGTGGATGTCAGGACACGGTGGGGACTTGTTCTTACCTGACCATAGTCTGTCCGGAAGACAACGACGCCCTCTGCACAGGAATTTACAGTACTTGGAAAATGCTGGCCATTTTCTCTCAGCCAGACCCGTGTTCCCTGTAAATAAACACAATTTAGCCATGAGTTTGGATTGTATTTTGTTGCAAAAAAACCACTCTCAAAATTACCATGACTCCAACAAGGCTTAAAAAAACCCAACCTTTTTGAAAAGCAAATGTCTTTCTCAAGCAAGCCAAAAAAAGACTCCTTAGTAAGCATCACTCACAGCCTTCTTACTGTCTACACAAGTATGACAGAAAGGCAGTCCCACCAGACAGAGAAAGCAAGGAAAACATCTGCCCCCTCAGTCCTACTAAGCAAGCGATTTGTTTGCATGATCTCATTTGCCTCTCACAAGCACCCCAGGAGGCAGGAACTGTTCCCATTTTGTCCAAAGGAAAACTGAGAGTCTCCCACTGAAAATGAAGGAGAACACAAACCAGGCAGCTGGAGCTCCAGATACACCAGTTTAACCAGGTCCCTACACTGTCTCATCCTCTTTGACAGCCCTTTGGGACCTGGTAGCTCTCACCTTCTCAGGTCAAACCTACACACTCTTGCTTACTTCAAGGGCATGAGACCACTCCCTTCATGTTCACCTTGAGCCAAAATCATGTGTCACCTCAAATCTCTAAAGAGTTGCTAATAAACACCAGAACTCAGTCTGCAAGATGAACATTTCTAGGATGCCACCAGACAACTAATGTACTGCAAAGTACAGGACTGGGGCCCGAGATACTACCACTTCCAGATACTATTGTTTTAATGCTGCATATGTCTTTTGGCTTGATTCCATCTCCACTTTTTATCTGCCCACTGGATAAATGACCAGTGGCCTTGGCAGTGACTCAAATGAAGCTTCTCAACTCCTAGTCCCACAGTCTTTCTACACACATCACATTGATTCCTTTTTTCTGCTTAAAATAATTCACAAATTATCAGAAGCATTTACAACTCTGTCAACAATTACAATATAACAACAAAGATATCACTGTAAATGGCCTGTTATCACATACAACTATTTGCTCTCTCCTTCTCCCAAAAAGTGAAAATTTAAGAAGATACAGGAGTTTGAGTTAATACTTCTTCCCTCAGGACTGGTGATAACTTCACTTAAAACCCATCAGCCAGGACCTAACATTTGCTGTCTCTCCTGTTACTTGGGGTCCCTAAGAAGTCAGCCTTGAGTCTGATGAAAGCATTTGGGGCTGGCTAACTAGCCCTACAAGCTAGGAAGAAGGGGGTCATATGCTCAGAAGTCCAGACAAGCATTTTCAAGAAGATCGGGATAGCTGGAGGACCCAATTTTCATGTGGAATGGGCTCCTTTCCCCTGCTGGCCAATTTCCACAATTCCCCCAGTGAGTTCTGCAACTCTCCCAGCACCCCAATTATAACTCTATATAAGGCCCTCCCTATTGGCATTCATTTCCCCATTGTTAGATTTTAAGTTATTTACTCCATCACCCAAAAGGGTTGGAATCTTCCACTATACAGGTGGAAAACAGCTCAAACATCAACAAGAAGCGTTCCTACTTCAATCCTGAACCCGTCAACTTAAAGAACACGCATTAATACCAACAGGGACCACGTTCTCTTTTCCCCTCATGCCAGTCCTGTCCCTCTGACTCTGGCTTCAGGCTGAGAGGCTGGTAACAATGGAAAATGACCTAAGTGCTGTCACTCCTGATTTCTTTATTAGCAAACAGCTGTTTCCTAAAAGAACATTCACTTCAGGCATCTCTTAAGACTGCTCTCTCAAAAACCACTCCATACCCTAGCTGTGTTGTGTTTGTCACATTCTAGAAAAGAACTTCTAAGTACCTGAATGACTTTGTTCATCTTCTTTTTAATTCACCTATCATAAGACTGGACAAATGAAAGCTTTGAAATACCTCCAAACACACATGCATGCACCCCTCCACACAAGGATACTCTCAAAGCCATAAAACATGAGATCTTTTACTCATTAGGTTCAAATCATGAAACAATAATTCCCAGTGCACCTCCAACCCAGAACCCCATGTTTCCTTTTAGTTTCCTTGTGGCCATGATCAAAAAGGATTTCACATTCCTGTTTCCTAGCTTATTAAAATTGTCCCTTCAGTAAGAATGAAACTAAGATTTTATTATACATTTCCAAATTAATATATATTGTGACCAGTATGACTATAAACCTCTCGCTTCCTGAGGCCACAGAGAGCATTTCACTACAGCTCACAGTGTTTTTGCCTTGCGCTGAACCTTGTAGTTCTCTTTGCCTTCTTGTTTGAAAGCATTACACCACCTTTTATTGACACAGTACTGGGAGATCAAACACACAGCTCAGCTTCTGTGTCCAAAGGTCTTTTTCAACAGGTGTCAAGAGCTCCTGATAAGAGGGTTTCAAGAGGTTTCCAATTTACAGCCCACTGGCCAGGTCCTTCAGCCCATCATACACAGTTGCCTTCCACAAGGAGAAAGGAATTGCATTCAGAACACTCTTTCTTTTTTGAAAAATGTATAAACTCAGTTTCCATAGAATTGGGATTGCAGAGTAAAATCCTGAAACTGATACTTTTGCACAGATTGTTCTTGGTGGTGTCTCTGAGCCCCCAATCTTCCTCCTTCCATTCTATGAGAATAGAACACATATGCCCAGGTCCAAAAGAGGCCACCCACAGCATCTGAATGAGAACAAAGTCACGGGCAGCATTTACCAAGACCATCCAAGTTTGGAACAGGGAAGAAAACTTTGCCCACCATATGCAAACCATTATATTCTGTCATTGTTAAATAAGGCTGATAATTTAATAAACAATATGGGCAACCTACCATATGGAAAGACTCACAATTTGAGTAAAAATTGTTTTTATAAAAGTGGAGCATGTTCGATCCTAACATACTCATTTTATTAAAACTTGGACTAGTTTTCATCTGAATCTCTGAGATGGATACATGAGTGTTAAGTTTAACAACTAAAATCTTTTCTGAACATAATTACCAGTAACATTTTTGCAATACAAAACACTTGCACATAAATTCCCATCTCCTTTGATCTTTAGAACATTCCTCTAAGACAGAGGCAAGTAATGCCACTCCTTTCTGCAAAAGTCAAGTTCACGGAGCAGCGTTTTCTCTTGCCAACAAATGATTTCCTGATCATAGTAAGAATGGCTTTACCAAAAGTTGGTAGGGATGCAGGAAAACTAGTGGGAATGCTAATGGTACATCCACTTTGGAAAACACTAGCAATTTCTTAAAAAGCCAAATATTACCTCACCATATATCCAAAAAATTCAAGCCCTGAATATCTGTCTCCTGAAAAGGGGTGAAAAAAAACTGGGGAGTGGTACTGGAGGTTGAACTCAAGGCCTTGTGCTTGCTAGAGTTTCACCAGTTGAGCCAGGCTCTCAGTCCTTTTGGTTTTAGTTTGTTTTTCAGATAGGATTGCTTTTGCCCAGGCTGGTCTTAAACCTTGATTTTCCTACCTCTGCCTCCCAAGTACCTGGGATTACAGACATGCATCACTCTGCCTGGCCTCTGAAAAACAATTTTTTTAAACAAGACTTCTATGCAAGTATTCATAGCATCATTATTCCTAACAGCCAGATACTGGAAACAATTTGAATGTCTGTCAGCTGATGTAGAGACAAACAAAACATGGTAAATCTATACAATGGGACTCCCCAGTAATAATAGTAATAATAAAACATGGATCACTAATAAGTTCAATAAATTCTCAAAAAGATGAACCTCAAAATCATTACAAGTCAAAGAAGTCAAACACAAAAGCTGTACGTTACAGATTCCCATGTAATGAAAGCTCTAGAAAAGGAAACTCCATAGACACGGAATGCAGATGAACAGTTGCCCCTAGATGACTGAAAAGGACACTGATCAAATAGGGGAGGGGGAGCTTTGGAGCATGATGAAACTTTTCTAAAACTGGATAGTGGTGGTAGTTTCACAGGTGCAAAAATGTACTAAAAACAAATTACTCAGCGGTGCATGTACCTTGACCACTTCAAATCATTTAAGCTTTTTAAAAAAATTGATTTGCCAGCCTACATACTTCTCGATGATACAATAATATTCTTAGCCATTTCACAGTAGGAAAAACCAAACCCATTTCTATAAGTGAACAATCAAAGTGTCAAGACATATACAGCCAAATGTGGCAGTGCCCGCCTGCAATCCCAGCCCTGGGAAAGCTGAGGCAGGGGAATCGTGAGTTCGAGGCTAGTCTGGGCTACAGAGCAAGACACTATCTCAAAAAACCAAAGAAAGAAATACACATACCAAAACAAAAACCACAACGGTTTAATATAAGAACCAAATGCCATATTAAAATTCTGAAGATCCCATGTTGAGTTCATTTAGTTCCTGATCTCCATTAATATAGACTAGGGAGGCTATGAGACCACCTGAGAGCCCTACACAGGCCAAGAGCCCTGACCTAAGGATGCAGTTGCACAAGATTGTATCATTGTACTCAGTTTCTAGCCCCCAGCCCACTGGCAAATAACCATAAATCCTCCGGCCCATAACCTTGTTCTTGAAATGTGGTCTGCTATTTTTTTTTTAAAAGACTGAGAGGTTAAGTAATTTCAAGATGAATATGAAAAGTTAAGATAGCTGTGTAAATCTGCAGAAAATCCAGCAGCCAAAGCAAGTTTCTTCTTTTGCCTGCAAGACCTCACTCAGAAGATCTGGGTTCTTGATTAATTCCAGAAACTGGAGGAGGACAGTTCACTGTAGTACTATGGATTTAAACAGCACACGTTCTGTTTTACAGCCTTTTTTTTTTTTTTTTTTTTTTTGGTAATTTTTTTCTTTGTCTTAGAAGTAGGAGATGTCTCTGTAACTTATCAGGTGCTGGTTTTCCTAATGCTTAATTACTCAAACCTACATCCAGGGACACACGGCTTTTATAACAGAAGGTTCAAACACAGGTTTCTCAACACTGCTGCTATTAATATTTTGAAATAGGTCATTCTTTGCTATTAGTATTTCCCAGCTAGGGGGCTGGGAAATCATCCTAGTTGAGAACCACTGTTCTGGAGTAATACAGTATTC